GAGATTTATGAGGCGCGTTAGGTCGCCAACAAAGGGATTCTCGAGTGTTATTTCGCGTTTCGGACGCGTATACACATATACGGGATTCCGCGTTCGCGTATATATATAATACCCCGCGTTCCTCGCGCGAGAATTCAATTTCACAAAGACGGTCTCGCGCAATTTCATTACCGCGCTCCACTAATCCCACTGCGGATTGTCAGCCTCGTTAAATTCTCGATAGATGCGCGCGGGTATCTTAATGAAATTTAATTACTGCGTTAAACGAGCGGCGTTTCAACGTAAAATTCCCGCGAAATCGCAGCATGATCGCGGTGATTTCGACAATTCACATCTCTGTCTCACTCCTCTCTCTCTCTCTCTCTCTCTCTCTCTCTTTTTTGGTGAAAGCTCCGCTCAGATAAGATTTCCACGCTCGCGTGCGAGCTTCTACTTTCTTGTATGTAGAAATGAGAAAAGGGAATTTTTGAAGGAAGGTATTCAGATACGCGTACACAAACGAGCGTTCGAGCGTTCTCGATAAAACGCGCACACAATGGATAAAGATGATCGTTAATCCTCCACGGACACCGCAGCGCAACTTTCGTGGCGAGCACACAATCGCGATTTATTATAGATAGAAAAAAAAGGAACTTAATCGGGCATTCCTTTTGAATAATTCTCGTTCGTGGAGGATTAAATCGGTCGGAGGGGGAGAGGAGAAAGAGTGTATAAGGGCATATTTTCGCTATAAACTACTACTACTATTACTATTATTATTATTGCTACTACTATTACTACTACTACTACTTCTAATTTAAGTTGTACACCCTACGAAAAAAACCGAGAGCAGACCAGACGAGAATTTATTTTTGGTCCGTGAAAAGATATAGCGAGGTAATATTTTTCTCATCAATCCAACCGTATATACATTCGTGTATATACGGATATATAAATCTGTATAAAAGAGCCGTGGTGTTTATATTATACATATATACATATGTATAGCGAGCCGTTGTAGCTAGCAATCGTATATGTATGTGTATAGCATTTGAGGGAAAAAACACACGGCTGAACGCTACGTCGCTGTAAGTTATGTATTTCTTAAACGACAACAACAACGTGAAAACGTTCACTGCCAAATTGTGATAAACGTGAGAGATCCCACCTTTTAAGCCAGGAGCGTTTTCTTGACTTCTGATCGCATTGACCAATCGTTTTCGCGTCCCATCCGCCCTTCCTGTTTTCCACAATCTTCTTCACTACAAGAATTCACCTCCCTCCGTGTAATAATAATAACAATAATAATAATAATATTATAATAATAAATAGTTACCGCGCATCCAATCCGATCATAGTCATCTATTTTTCCTTAAAATGAAGCTAGACTAATCTAGACGAGGACGAACGAAGAAGTTAGTCTCGACCAATGCAGCTAGAAACGAAGGAAACAGCTCCCCTATTTTAAGCGCCACGATTTAATAGCCGTATTTTCAAGCGACAGACAGATGTTGTAGATCGAAGCGATATTTTTAAACGGGGCACGTTTTACCTGTCGAGAGAAAGAGATAAAGTGGGAGGGAGGTGAGAGAGAGAAAGAGAGAGATAAAAGAGGGGAAAGGAAGCATCATCCGGACCGCCTTTTTAGCGCTCTTCTAATTGTATGTTCATTAAGTGTACAGTGCCTTTGTATCTTAAATGAGACAAGTCTCCCCTTTTCGTCCCTCGGTGAAAGCAGCTCGACTCGTGACTCGAGCAAAATTTTCCGAGCATCCTCGATAAGAAAATGATATGATATTTATTGGTTCCTTTAATTAAGAAGAGCCGTTATCGCGGTATTAAATCATAATTGTCTTCATCGTTTAAAGATCATTGTTACGAATTTCAATGTAAATTAGAACGAATATTATTTAAAATAGAAACTGACTATTGACAAAATTTGAGAGACAGATTCTTTGTTATTAAATATAATTTTATTCTGAAAAAAAAGAAGATAAAATCGCGCGAGTGAATTAAGATATAATTTTCTTTCTCTTTTTAATATAACAGTATCTAAATTTCTCTGCGGCAAAATGATCGTGTAATCGATATATTTTATCCTTGGAATTCTTTCTCAGAGAATGCGAAATTTTGCTGATGATGTGTAGTCGATTAACGGCGAGCAAAACAGATGCGTGGATCTGAGGGAAATGGAGGCGTGCGGTCCTTCCTACGTGTCGTGACGTTCTTCTGACTAGGTTCATAATTGTAATGAATTGTCTAATGATTAATATGTAAAATTAGATTAATTATTCGAGTATGTTGTAAAAGTCGTGTACAGTTGCGCCGACCGATCGAATCGGGAAAGTGCGGTGGCCCGTCGGAATCGCGCGGCGGCAGCCACCCTGTAGCTAGCCTTATTATGATTATCATTATTGCCATTATTATCATGGATTATTATTACGATTATAAATATTGTGTTTACCGTAATAATGTGTAATATACGAGGTTACACGGAGCCAGAGAGACCTTGTGCATTTTCACCTGTCACATTGATTACTATATAATTATATTAGTAATAATAATAACGCCTTTTTACAGTGAGCATGTTACATTGCTGTTGTGATAAAATTAACAAGTCGTCAGTTCTTTCGTTGTATTCACGGCGGCAGTGTTACTAATTCTTTCTGTTTTCATGTCGAAGTAGCCGAGTGTTAGAATCATTTTGCTGTAACAAAACTTGTGATTAAAGTTTCCAATTAAAAAAGGTCATGACTCGTGTGGGTTTGTATAAGATCGATTTTATTTATTGTAAGTGCTATATACATTCAATATTTTGTGGCAAGATGACACGGAAATGAAATTGGACAGAACTCCTTTTCAAGACCTGAATGTCCGCTCAAATTCTTGTCGCGCTTATCCGTCAGATTGGTGCAAAGGTTTATCTTTTTCTATTAATATCGATATGTTATTTTACTATATATTGTACGTTTTATTTTTTTAAAAGGAAAATTGAAATAATTCTTTCTAGATGAAATATACGTGCGTCGTAGACTGCCTTGATGAAATGTAAACCTGCGCGACTCTCTGTTCCCAATTGTTGAGACTTTCCGCACCAATCTGGCAGCATTGGCAACGCTCTACACGAGGAAGCTATTCTCGGAGATTCTCGATCTACGTTCGTCGCATCGCCTGCTTTCTGATCTGCTTGCGACGCGCCTGGACCACACCGTAGACCACCGCGGCGAGGCTTCGGCAGGTGCTCCTGTGCCTCGGGGTGCCCTCCTGCTGCAGCGTGGCTTTGCCCAATACAAAGTACGTCTCCATCGTACCCTTTCCCTTCACCTCGATTAGCCCGCGTTTCTGCGTCTGGTAACCCCTCTTTTCCAGAAACTGTTCACGTACGAATGAATTGATGAAATTAGTGCGATTCTCAATCGCTATTTTAGAAAATAAAATATCGAAAAAGAAATGCATGAATTTAGATTACACGAAAATATCGTTAAAAAAACGTAATTCTGTATTTACTTTCCAGGAGACAAAGTGCGAAAAATTAAGAAACGACTTGCACACGAAGCTCAAGATTACTTTTTTTAAAAACCACTGTTATTGCTGCTATTATTATTACCCTGGCGATATCATGCGGAACTTGTATCTTGCCCATCACGCCGGTGGAGTCCATCCTGGAAGCTTCGTTCACAGTATTGCCCCATATGTCGAAGACTGGCTTCCGGGCCCCGATCACACCGCCTACAAGGGGTCCGCAGCTGATGCCCACTCGCAGATCGAAGTTGTTGAACGAGTGAACGTTCACGTCGTCGAGACGGTGACGCATGGCCACCGCGTAGTCAACCAGCCTGCACAAGTGCTCCATGTCGTCGCCGTTGTTATCCTGCTATCCAAATTTTAGTCTTGTATACCCCGTATTATTTCATCCACTTTTAATACAAATATTAAAAGGTAAATTTTTCAAAACTAGGAATTTAAAGATATATAGGATATTTTCAGTATCAATATGATTCTGTGGGAATCAAAAATATTTTCAATTGTAAGATTTTTTTGAATAGTTTTTTCAATTTTCTTTCTATACTGCATTACAATTAAATTCCAAAATTGAGAAATTCGAATATCGATAAGCTTGAAATTTTCATGGAGAGAAAACCTAAATCAGCTAAGAAATTTTTAGCAAAAAGAACATCCGGTGACTTTATAACATCCTCGTATATCTTGTTAAGACATATATATATTGCGTTGTATTATATTTTATATATTTATATTGTTACGATTTGGCTGGGATTCAGACCCGACGCGGCCATATAAGTGGCGCCGACCGTCTTTATCTTCTCGATGCAATGAAACGGCGGCTCGTCCAGCAGCTCGTCGAAATCAGCTGTGTATTGCAAGTAAATTACATGTCAAGCATCAATATTATGAAAGTGAAGAAGAAAAAAAAAATGAAATGAAGAAAAGAAAATATGAAGAGGATATACATTGATTTTAATATCATAAATTATACTAATTTAACGAGAAGTCGCCGTACCGATGATCTCGTTAAGCAGACGAATGCACTCCATCCCCTTGTTCACGTCCTCCGAATAAAATTCCGTGAAGTTCGGCACGCTGGCGAACATCACGCCGACCTTGTCCCGCGACTGCGAGTAGAGTTCCTGCGTCGACGAAGGGATATTAGTACGGGGAGCAGCGTATTTGCCTAAATGAAATAAGAGCGAGCCCTACTTCCGGCGCGCGTTCCGCCGTGAGGAAGTGATGCGCCACGTGGTCCGGCAGGATGTTCTTCAGGAGCTGCATATTGTTATGCCGCGACTCGATCATGTCGCTCAACTCTCTCTCGGCCTGCTGCTTCCACAGGAAGTCCAGACGCGACGTCACCTCCACCAGTCTGCCGTGGTACGTGACCATCACGAGGAAGACAATCAAGAAGGTCAGCATCTGCGCCGGTAGAGATATCGCCGATCTGGAAGAGAAATTAAGAACGAACGAAGGATGAATGCTGTATGAGGAATTTTCCGATCATTATTAAATTAAAAAAATGCTTCGAATTAATTTTACACTCCGACTGCCGAAATACAAGCTTCGTCACATATTCCCGGGCCTTTTCGACACACAAATTTGTTTTTATTTGTTATTAATAGAGCTGTTAAATACATTTTCTCGCGACAATTAAAGGTTTCACCGCACATTTAAGACTGAAGAGCATTTAAATGTGAAAGTTATAAGCCCGCCAATATTTTAAATGTCGATCTGAGCAACTTACGCGTTCGTTTCTTTCTCGGTGAACATGTCCTTGCACACGACGAGGATCAGCACCGCGTACACCAGGACAATCGCCGCAGCTAGCGCGGTCTTCACCAGATAGTATAACTTCAGAGCTGAAGCGAGCGCGATGAGGCACAGAATCCATGTGAACACCATATACTCCGGCCGGATACAGCCGATCTCCTCAAGCTCGTCGAGACTCCTCAGAGCCAATCGCTTTGAGCGAATATGAGCAGCTTTGAGCGGCTCCTCTTCGTCGACAGAGAGAATCCTTCTTTGGGAGCCTCCCTCGGCGTCGCGTTCGAGCGCGACTCGTCTGTAATGCCGGCTTTCGGTTTCCGGCTTTCCGTAATGCTGCTCGTACCTGCGATAATATTAAACCATTTGCCAGGAAGTCATAGTAATTTCTTTTATCTTTTTATTTCTTTCAATTAATTCGTAAAATAAATTTCGCGTAATTCTTTCTGCGACAACGAAGAACCTTCGAATTTACAGTGCCCCCAAATGGCGCTGCAAGTATTGTAAATACAATCAACGTCATCTTTCTTTTTTTTTTAAATTTAATGACCACAAAACACACCTGTAGAATCTGAAGAACTCTCTCCTGCTTCTTCCAGGCGCCCTATCATTCACCACTCGTGTCAGTTTCAGCTCGATATTGCTGGAACCCGTTTCCAAAGTGTTGTTCTCCGTCGAGGGGACAACACTCTTTCCACCCTCGGTGGACTCGTCGCTCAGGGCAGCCTCTAGGAACGTAAGGACAAAGTGATCCAGGCTCGAGGTGGTCGCCGTCAATTTCTCCTGCATTGGAAGCGGTACCGTCGCGATCGTTGTCGGTACCTGCTGTTGCTCGAGCACCATCACTTCCTGGTAAGGGCGTACCGTGATGGGACACGTCAGCACGCCGATGATGGATGTCAACATCATCAGGCTGATAACGCCGCAGATGAAGACGGTGCGGTGCTTCTTGTTGTGCACCAGCATGGACGACGTGTGTTGCAGATACGTCGGCATGCCCTTGAACTCCTCCGCCATCACCAGGATCGACGACGCCACCAGTATCACCGTGGTCACCAGCAACGAGATCAGGAGAATCATGCAACTGCGGTATTAACAAAATTAAAGTTATCGATTTATCACTGTACGTGCGACATTTTTAGTTATAAAAAGAAAATTAAAATTCTTGATTTTATAAAAAAAAAAAAATTAACAATTTAAATAAAATATGAAATTTTAAATTAAATGTTTTGGAAATTAGATAATGAAGAAGGAATTATTTATTTCCAAGAAACAACCAATTTGATTCGTAGCAAAATTTATGTTTCCAAACACAGGAAATCGATTGTTAATTGATTAACTTCCGACTTGCTTATGTGTACTCACTCAGACAAGATTATGGCTTGGCAGACGGCGATGAAGAGCCATATGACGAAGCAGCATATCATATTAGACTTGAACATGTCCTCTCGCAATTGATCAAACTGAAAACGCGGTTAATAATACAGAATATCTCGTGATTCATTTTGATTTTGATAGAAAATTCGAATTTGTATATTATTTATTTTTTCATTAGATCGAATAAACCCAAGAACAATAATGGTATCAGAGGAATTAATTTTACCTTGGATTCCAAGCTCTCGTCGTTATAGCGCAAGGTCCACGTGTTTATGTTCGCCGATCTCATACGTTTGTTGCTGGCAGTCTCGATAGCGCCCTTCTTCTCGCCGGACGTCGTCGAAGCTGCTTTGTTGCTCGGTTTGGCTGGCTGGCCATTCTCCTCCTCTAGATACTCGGACTCCAAGTTACTCACCGATGTAGCCGTGTTCAGCTACGATTGCGAGGCAAACAAAGTAAATAACATTTATGACTACCATATAATTGCATTTGTTGCATTATTAACTCAATTAATGAGTTACATTATTATTAATTCAATTAATTCATTAAATATTATATATGGCTCATTTTCAGTTGAATTTATTATTAATCAGATGCATTAGCATTTTAACGCTCACATTCTCGAACGGAATTTCAGGCGTCCAGTCAACCCCGATATCGTCGTCCGGGGGTGCATTGCTGTTCACGGCATGTGGATTATTCACTTTGAAGCTCTTCTTGTTCTTGTTCGCGGCCAGCTCTTCCTCCGTCCAGACCTTCGGCTTCGACGACTGCCTTCGTCTGGACTTCTGCGGCTCCAACTGCTTGATGAGATACGTCACAACGTTCCTGTCCTTTAGATAATTGTCCCGCTCGCAGCCATAGCCGGGTTCCACCTCGTAAACGTCGTTGAGGCACTTGAGCGTGTCAGCGGAAATGTGTACCCTCCTGTAACAAGATATAATTCCCTCGTTTTGCTTATGAATTTTGCATGTCGAAGGCTTTAACGAGATAAGAGATTTGAGGACTTGAACGGGAGCCTCAAAGTTAGTAAATCTATGTATTTTCTTAAAGATACGAATTTTCGAGAGTAGATTAACAGTTAATAAATTATTAATCGTTTAATTTTATAATATGTGGTGTACATTCTGTATAAGTGTTTTTTTTATATACCCCGGTATTCCTCCGCTCTCGAGATGATTTGCGAGCGTCACGTCGTACGACCACACATCGAACTGCCACTTTCGCAGACCCAAGACCCCGCACAGCACCGATCCGCTGTGTATTCCTATCCTCATATTCAAATCCACCTGCGCGACAGGAAGATAAAGGAAATTTCGATTTAAATACGCTTAAGACATGAAATATATTTCGTGTTTACTTTATATAGATATTTATAGGATATTTGCTCGAGAGACTTGCTAAAAATAAATTAAGATCTCTAATATGCAGTGTCATTCAAATATTAATCACAAATTTGCTTAACAGAAAATACACCAGTTTTAAAGGTGTATTTTAGAAATTTATCTTTCTTTTCTGAAGAGATTAATTTATACGGGAGTAATCTCAGTACCTTCGTAGTGAACCTAACGTCCCGTATGGCCTTTATCATGTGCAGGCCCATCTCGACGCAGCAGTGAGCGTGATCGCTCCTGGCGATCGGCAGGCCGGAGATGCAGTAGTAACAGTCGCCGAGGAGCTTTATGCGCAGACAATGATTCTCCGCCGAGAGCTTGTCGAAACGGGCGAACAGGTCGTTCAGGACCTTCACCAACTCCTGGGCGCTGCACTGACTCGCCAGTGCTTTACAATGAAAAAAATCATCGTGAATCGTCACCGTGCGCTGTCACACAGCTCTAACTTACATATTGCATATAATGTAGTTAACTTAATTTACATAATATATTTTATATATTTAATATGTAAATCATATATATTGCGTATATAAAATTAAGTGAAATTTTTCGTTCTACGCTATCGTAGGCTCTAAAACCGAGCGCCAGCGTACCCGTGAATCCTTTGATGTCAGCGAATAGGATGCTGACGTTCTCGTAACGGTGGATGTATATCCGGTGGAACTGATTCGGCGTGAATGATATCGTCCCACCACGTGCCGTCTCGCGGGCGATGTCGCGGATCATTTCCTTCGCGACGAAGTCGGGCAACACTTTAACGGGATTAATTGATTATGCTTCCATGAGACACGTGTATTAACGCGACGATAAAGTATAAAAATGTGCAGCTCGAGGTTTCGCGAAATATTCAATCCAAACTGGGTAGATTATATCTCTTTAGCGAGACATAATCATATCTGTCGTAAATATTCTCCGCCTTGAGTATCTTTACAATTAATTCTCTCGTATATTAGACAGAAACGCATCTAAATGAAGTCCACTTCGTGAATCTGAAAAGCAGAGCTCCGCCGTCTGTTTTCACTTCCGAAGCTCAACTATCGAGAAACTTTGGTGGCTTATATAATTTTGCGCAAGTAAGTAAGCCTCGGGCGACATTATTCCGGCATCAATTTATTGAAAACAAACAGTCCTATGGCGTTACGAGAGAGCGAGTGATAGTGGGTCAGAGGTGGTATTTATGTAATCCAGCGTAATGTATCCCGACGATGGGATATATTTTCGTAGCGGTCGCTACGAAGAGCGGGGAGGATCGATATATCGGGTGGGATCGCGGCGACGTAACACGCAAAAGGCTATTGGAAAAACGTGCGTCCAACCGGCGCAATCGGCTGAGAGAGTGTCTAGTGACCCTTTTTGACACTCGGCCGAGCAAGTTACACGGACGAGCGGCGGCGGCGAGTTACCCGCGCCGCGTGTTACGATAAATATGCACATAAATACCCAGCCTAGTTACGACCCCGCGGCTACCGACGCCTCGCGCCGCGTCTTTCCTCTTCGAAAGCTTGCGAGAGAGGTGCTCTCTCAAAGATTCCCTCCAGTTTCTCTCACACTCGCTGTGAGGGGGATACTCGCCGAGGATACTCTAATCTATCGGAGATACTCTAATCACGTTTCTTTAAGCTTCGGCCGTGAAGGCACGAGGCGAACGGTATGAAAATCAATTCTCGCATGCACGTCCTGCTCTTCGCAACTATTCTACTTCAACTACTTGAGCCAAAGAAAGAAGAAGTCACACTTACTCCGTCAGGAACTTAAATAAAGCATTTTTATTTCCGAAGCACTCTCAGTCCAAGATGTTTTAGATTAGTATTAAAATTGTTAGATAGATAATCCTTACATTCAACGTGCAGGATTACGTTCAAAAAGTAGGATAGCTTGAATTTGTTTTTTTTTTTTACCTGAGAGCAGCAGCTTTTCCTGTCGATTGTTCTCGTTCTGCGTGCGTTGTCGCGTCTCTGTGGAACGATGGGTCTCCAGGAAGGCTTGCCGCTGTCCCCGGTCCGTCAAGTACTTGGTGTACATGCCGGCCAAGTTCACGGCCAGGTACAACAGCACGTTCGTCGTCAGCATGCGAATGATACACGCGGCGTCTCGCAGCTGCAAGAGATTCAAGATCATTTAAAAGCTTTAAAATAATTCGGGCTGAACAAAATTAAAAGAGCTAAGCAAGATAAGAAATGATAATCAAGAAATTAAAGATTCAAATTAAATCAGAAGTTAAATTAAAAAAAAAAAAAAAAAATATAAACAGAATTTAATGTTCGCATGTTTCAGTAAATATTAAAATTTCACGCACGATAAAAAATCATTACTGAAACATTCATTATTGAAATTATCTAATTTCTAATAATGTTCTTATTCGTATAAAATAAAATGAATCAGAGGGTAAATTAATTAAATAAATTTTTTAAAAAAACTTTGAACGGAAATTCCATGAATGGTCTACGATGTATCTTCTCACGTATGTGGAGTCCTGCAGGAGACTTATGCCGGCCATCACCATGTGTGTTAGCGCCGTTCCGTAGCCGGCGAGGACGCACCATCGCAGTGGCAGAGGCAACATCGCGTAGGGCGCGTACACGACGAAGAGTATGTACCACATGAGCCGCTGCTGCGTGGTGAAATTCAGACCGGCACCTATGAAACCTGCAAACGGCCACGGGGGATGCGGCATTTTACTTGCCGATATTTACTTCAGTTCTTTCTTCCGCATTAGCGTGCTCGATCAAGAACGGGAATACTCGGGCGCGAACGGAGATTTGTTTAAAAGGTTATTTTTGCGCGCATCTTCGGAATGAGCGGATGAAATTATCGGCTACGATCTCCGCTTTGCTCCACGCTCTGGTGAACGTTCGCTCGAATTTTAGCTGGCCAGCAGAGCAAGACGCCATTCTATTCAACTGCGGAATCGATACAGCAAAGTACCGATAGCCAGCGCAGCTGTTAGAACGATGTAAAAGTTTTGTCGTTCTTGCCAGTTAAAGTTCAGAGCGAAGTTAACAAATTGCAAAGTAATTTCTGCGCTCGAAATTCAAATAAAATAATCGCTATTGACCTCGGTACATTTTTTCTAGAGAGAAGAGACCGCTAATTCTTTCTTTTAGATTTTTTTTCTCTTAAATCATTAGTTTTATTTACGAAACCGAGCTTTATGGAAAGTTTATGAAGCTTTATAGAGAGACGAAATCCTGCGTGTCAGCCCGATATTCCCAAATCGAGTAGTTGCATCGAGTTATAATTATGGGGATCGATAGGTCAGAATGAGTCGCGTGGGCCTCACCTTGAGAGTTTATTAATAACCAAGTGAATATCGAGGCCCAGTACAGGTAATTGTTAGAAAAGCAACGCCACCAGCCGAGCACGCAGATCACCAGATTCGCCGCCATGCAACACGCGGCCCACGACAAACCCTCGATGAGTCCACCGTTGTCCGGGTCCCGTTGCCAGAGCCAGATCCCCGTTAGCGTGATCTGCGTCGCGATAAAAATCTCTTCTATCACACAGTTTACCAGGGAACACGTTTATCTTTCAATTTTTATCTTCTATTATTCTTCGTCGAATTTCGAAGAGAGTTTGACTTGAAATTTAATCAGACAATCTTCAGCCTAAAGATGTATAATAAAAAAAATATAAATGTCGTACACAATTTCGTTTTATTTTATGAAATATAGAAATGTGACGTAAAATTTATTGGCAGCCTCATAGAAAGTATAGTTTTAATTTAAAAGTTTAAGATATCTGTATTTCTCTATAGTCTAAAGTTTAATTTTGCAGGATATAAAATTGTAGTTTAGCTAGACAATTTTTAAAGATAAAAAATAGATTTCTACGTAAAGATTCTCTACATGAGTTAATAAGATTATATTCTACATCTTAGATAAATCACAAAGTCCAAAATCTGAAGAGAAGTCTGGGATGATTTTAAATAATAAATACAAAATTGATTTAGATTTACTTTCGCTCACCTTCAAGCTGAGGTCCACGATGTTCAACATTATCAGAGACTTCTGTCTCTGTCGATTCGAGTAGAGAAGGTAGGACGTCTCCAGCTGCTTGTTGTGAAAACTGTTGGTCAGCGAGGGCAGAAATATTCCCTTGTACAGCGTTCCCTTCTTGAAGACATCTAAAACCACACGATCGCGCACATTCCCAGTCTTTTCTCCTCGTATACTTTACGTCGGGGGTTAAACGGGAAACGCATCCCGGGACCGGGGATTTCGTACCACGTAGGGTCTGAGCCTCCTCATCGTCCACGGCCTGCTCCGATCCGGCGGCGGCGTCCGATTCCGCGTTCGCGGCCTCGTCATTCTCGACGGGTGCCTGGCCGGCGTCCTTCGATTCGGCGGCGACCTCGGGATCCGTGTTGGACTTCCGGTCCTCCCACGCCGCCAGTCCCTCCCGGCCCAGCCTCTCGGAGGTCAGTTTCTTCACCGCCTTGATCCATAACTGTTTCCTCGGCGAAATGCTCGACCTGCCCCACGATTATCACGCGTGGTGTATCGATTCGTTGACGAAAAGAGAAAGATGATTGATCGATAGCGTTGTGCAGTGTGAAATTTGCCCACAAACGTGTTCTGATTGTTACATAGAGAATTTTACGTTTTGCTTTAATTTCATAATTGTATAATTCAAGTAAACTACTCTAGGACGTGTTCATATTCCCATCCAAGTACTCTTCAGTATCTTATCCTTGTTTACTTACTGTTAATATTTTTCGGTAAGTAACAAGGATAAAATAATATCTGAGTGGCACTTGGGTGAGAATTCGAACGCGCCCCTGAAATTCTGCTCCAGAGATTTCAAAGAAATATTTATAATTACGTAGGAAATTTTGGCGCAAGAAAAGTTATATTTCCTGCAATATGAGAAAAAATGGTACTTTCGTAGCGAATTAATAGATATTACTGAGTTACTGTAAACAAAAAATTATTTTTAAATTCAATGATTTTCAAATAATCCTCGTGAAAACGAAATGTATCCAATTTTTATCAGGTAAAATACTTTCGTTCTCGATCAGACCAAGCGAATTTCACACTTTCGCGAAGGGACAGAGGAGAAGCGAGTTGGCTACTCACTCGTTGATGCCCGTGACATCGCTGTCCAGCATCATGCTCCAGGTCTGTTCTGTAATCATTATCTCCCCGATGATCCGCGGATCACGACTGACCGCTCACGTTGTGATCGTCAATAAGGCAACAAGTGCCTTAGCGTCATCCGGCATTGTTCACAGACACCTTGAATGAAACTGACTTGCGAAGAAGCGACGATTTGTTCGCACCACGGCGGCGACGTTGCGGGGCGAACGTCGGTTTTTTTTTCACGAGAAGTAGATATAACTCTCCGGCAAGGAAAGACCCCCGGTAAGAGAGATCGGTCGGTCCACGATCGCGATCGCGTACGACGGCGGTCGATCGACTCCGTTCAACGTGATCCGGCCTGACTCTTTAGCTTCACAACCGGCGGGATGCGAGAGGCGTCTGATCGAAGTGTCATATCTTTTCCTTTCTCCTCACGGCGTATCGGGTCGTGACGAAAACGCCTCCACGGGGACGCCTACGTACTTTTTTTCTCCCTAACACTTGCAAGTGTCCCTTCAACGGCTCTAAGTGTTGTTATCAACTTCTTCGTCAATATTAAAATGGCGCGTCTCCGCGACACGCGAGGTCTGACGAAAAAGAAATGGCATCAAGAAACGGTTCGTATCTAATTTGGAATTGGAGATATCTTTTAAATAAATTATCGCTTCATTTTCTGCATACATAATTGCTAATTAGTGCGTGTATATTTGTGTGTATTGCTTTATATAGTGATATAAGTGCACGTCAAGAAATTATACAGTATTTGAAAATTTATGGGAAAAACAACACATCAAAATAAAATCCTGTCAGCAGAAAATTTTCAGGTAATTAATGACTAATGAATTACTAATCTTCTTTTTTTGATTTTAATTCTCAGTAATTTTTGTCAGTAATTCTACGATGCTTTCTTTCTCATCAGCCATTTCGTATTTTTGCGAGACAAGTCTTCAGATTCATTTGAGTTTTTTTCGTTATATCTTCGAACTATTTTCGTCACGACTCGACTCTCTTCGGATGAAGAAATGAAGTATTCAATCGCGATACGACAGATAGATGATAAAGTTATGTATATATGTTATCTACTGTTCATCGAAATTGCAGTATCAAAAAATCGCAATAAATTTCACTATTATTGTAACCAATCAAAAAGTAAACTTTGCATCTTTAGTGTTATTTAATCTAATATGAAATTAATTTAATGGATTTTTAATTGCGTTGCAATTCCAATAAACAAGAATATAAAAAGAAAGATAATTTGTATGAAATAAATGTTGTACGTCTACATAAACAGATGATTTCTTTGTAACAAAGTTTTAACAAAAAAGTATACTTTTTAAACACGATAGCCAGTAGCTTACCTTATTATGTCAATCCTCAGCAAAGGGAACAACAACTCCTTCCTGCCACGTCCTCGGCATCGAGTCCGTAAATCGCGGGAAGAACTCGAAAATCGGGCGCGCGCTTCCTGACAAGCCGACGAGCGGGATCTATGAGATGACCACAAAGTTCAACCCGCATCCCCCATCATCGTCGGCTCATCCCCCCTTGCTGAATCCGATCTGGAGAAGGGGCGCGATTGTCGGCTTGGCCGATACTTTAGAATAACATTGCTATCGTGATATTGTATTTTAAGGAAGATGCCCCTTGTGAAACAAATTTTTAATGATCTAAATTTGTATTCCCTTAGAAATAATAAAAATAAGTCTGCTTCGTATATTAATGTATAGTATTGATGAATATTATAGAAAATGCATGTGATCGATTGAATTTATAATATGCTGTTTAAATTTAAAAGTTCGCATTACTTAATGTTGAGTTGTACTACTGAAAAATAATAGCCGTGCGATTTATCGTCGACTCGCACTGCAAGTCCTAATTTTGAAATAGAGACTGTGGCGGCTCATAACGGATTGCGTCAAAGCTAAAAGTTCGTCATTAGGGTGCATTCGTTTGTGCAGTCACTGCCGCAGATGTATCATTTTATCTTTCTTATTCGAATATTGAACAAGGATAAAATAATATATTTGCGGCAGTGATTGCATAAACGAATGCACCCATTATATTACTGCTGCCAAAAGGAATAAAATGTTGGTGATTCAATTTAGAAAATTCATATATTTAGCGCTAAATACGCATTTATAGCATAACGGCGTCATGAATTTCTAATTACTATATTATTATTACTATATTATTGACAAATAAAAAATACATTAAAAGAAATTTAAAAATAAATTAAATTTTACAAATTACAAACGTTTAAAATTTTAAATATAAATCTGAAACAAATTAACTAAAATATAAATTTTCCAAATAAAAATGTTGAAGTTGATAAATTATCGACCACAGATAAGAACAATGAAATATATATCAATATATAGCGTAACCAATCCGATTTTCAGAATTTGATTTTTAAATTATAATTTAAAAATTTAGCAACTTTTACAATTTTATTTTTAAAATATAACTTTTCACGCGATTATAGTTTTTTATTCAAGAACATAATGTATATTAAAATGTCATCGTTGTTCGTTCATGGTTTAATATGTTACAATTTTCCTCGCTAAGGTGCGCTGTGACTTCGCTTCTCTTTGGAGTTTCCCTTCTATCACTTTTAAATTATTCTTGTTCAAGCTTGGCATGCGAATTATTTTGGCTTGATTTTAACGGAGCACAGCGGAGCAAAAGGCAGTAGTGGATGATACAGCGTGGGAGAACGTACAAGAATTTTTCAAAGTAAGGTTAAATGTAATGTAACGTGGAAAAATATTCAAAACGTGCAATACACACGTAGACATTAATAACTAAACAGATGTTATATAGTGCAGAAAATAATTAATTAAATACAAAATTTAAATTAAAATCTTCAATGTTAAATAAGACTATTATATAAATTTATATTTTATTGTATTAAATGTATTATTATAATGCTGTTATTTATTAGATAGATATAAATTAATACATATACATTTATTATTTCTATATGACACATTGATTATGCTTAAATAAATCGATGTATATCTTTTCTCTTTTCTTGCAGAGATGCATTGAAGATTTTCTTAAATTTATTAAGATAATTCATTGAACGACGCACAAGTATTCACAAGGCAAGATGCATTGGCTCAAGATCTCATTTATCTTGTGCATGTTTGGATGCTTTAAGGACTTCCGGCCCTCTGAATCATTTGTGACAGATTATTTAACTGGACCATGGAAGAACTTTACAGATGATCAAGTAAGTACTTCAAATATTGAATGATTTTATCCATTGAACAATTAAATTATGTTAATAATGTTCAATTTTTTAGGTGAATCAGGAGATCATTCCTGTGTCCACATACAGCTATTTAGCAACATTGATACTTGTCTTCTTGATCACAGACTTCGTCAGATACAAGCCTATCATTATATTGTGTGGTTTCTCCGGCGTCGTCACGTTCCTCATGATAATACTCGGAAAAACTGTGATAGTATTCCAGATTCTGGAATTCTTTTATGGCCTGTATATGTCCACAGAGGTAGCCTATTATACTTATATATACGCCAAAGTGGACAAGAAACACTATCAAGAGGTGACCGGGCATACTAAAGCAGCCACGCTGTTTGGCCGCAGCATGTCTGGCTTTGTAGCGCAATTAACAGCTTCCTTCGGCTTACTGAACTATCACCAGCTCAATTTTATAACTCTTTCAGGTACGCAAGATAAGATAACCTGAATGTATACATATTAATTAAATTCAAACTACAAGTCTGATTGCGACTTAGCAATAATCTGCATAGAATTCTACACAGCTTGTGAAAAGTAATGATATTAGTTGATATAATATAATATAACATGTTTAGAAATATGACATGTTCCTTACGCATTATATAAGATACTTATATAAATGACGTTATATATTTTATTTTTCAGCTAACATTTTCGCGACGGTCTGGGCGCTTTTCCTGCCTTCTGTAAGTCAATCGATGTACTTCCATCGCAACGGTATTTCCGATGAGGAGCAACGGAAAGGTGCGCTCGATCATCAGTCGCAACATTCAAGTAATCCGCGAGAATCGCCCGATATAGAGAGTGGCGAAACAAAGTGTTGTTTTACAGTGTTAGGCGGGCCATTGCTTCGCAAGATCAGAAATGCGTATGCGCTGCTGTGGAAACACTTCGTGCAGGCTTATACCAATTACCGCGTGGCCAAGTGGTCGGTCTGGTGGGCACTGGCCACCTGCGGCTACCTGCAGATCATCAACTACATTCAGCTCCTGTGGCGGACCGCGGTGGGTCCGGACGACATGATCTACAACGGTGCCGTGGACTTCATCTACGCGATTGTGGGTAAGGAAGACGTTTCAATCGTCTTTGGTCGAAACACGTGCCTTATTCCAATTTTGTAAAATCAAAACCAGAAGTCGGAACAATGGAATCAATTTTGAACGATTGATTAGTCTGTCAACTGTATGGAGTGAATTTTATGCAAGTAGCTTCTTTGAATACTTTCAAATTTTATGCGCTATAGTTTCATTGTTTTTTTGTAATTTGAATATTATATATCGCAATAAGGATAATAACTATTGCAATCACATTCATGCTATCTGTTAAGAATGGGTAATTTTGTCTCTCTAATCTGAAATAAGTAGATACTGTGCGATAAGCTTAATAGAGGTGGTTGATAACATCAATAACGTCAGAGCAATAAACTTATCTGAAATAAATCTTGGTAGATAATATATATTTTTGTTACAAATGAAAAGAAAGAACTATGAATGTGCTGTAAAAATGTATTTGCGCCAACAAATTGAAAAATATTACATGTTAAAAGAACATCTTATTTATCTTAATTAAAAAATTTATTCAATTCAAATCTAATTGTAAGCAGAATTATTCATCAATTAAACGCAGATCAGTGAGATTGGACGCGCTATGAGATGCGCGATTTATAGATACGTTGAACATTTTTAACCATAAATTCATTAAAGCTTAATTAAAAACTTAATTATCGATCTTTTAATTAAGTTTTTAATTAAAATATCGATAAGATAAAAGAGCGTAACTGAGAGAAACGAATTAAATTAAATTATGTAAAATTGGTGATTTTTTTTTATATATATATTTTTGTTTTCACCAGGTGCAGTGACCGTATTTTGTGTAGGGAAGATACAATTAAATTGGACCCTATTAGGAGACATGATGTTGTCCGTTTTCTCGCTCCTAGAAGGCGGCATACTATTGGGATTATCTTACAGTTACAACATTTGGTTTCTATACGCCGGCTATATCATATGCGGCGTGATTTATCACACTATGGTCACTGTTGCAAGGTGAATGCAATTAATTAATTAACAATACGATTTGATCGGGGAATAATTTCGATCGGAAGTTGAAATAGTTTCTTGATTCTTGAATAAAATTACGATAAGCTGAACGAGGAAATGGGGAAGTAAATAAGCGTTTTGCTTTTGCTTGTTCGTAGCTTCGAGGTCGCCAAAGACATAACTGAGGACAGCTATGGTCTTGTGTTTGGGATAAATACATTCTTCGCGTTACTAACGCAAAGTTTACTGACGTTCGTGGTCGTGAATACGCTCATGCTGAATATCAGGCAGCAGGTAAGATGATGCGCTAAAAGCACTTCTAAAATTGAGTGTTGGCTATCACCTCAAATAATGTCGGCAACTATTCGCATTTCAGTTTTTCGTCTACGGCAGCTACTTCCTCGTTCTGGCCATAATGTACATTGTGATAGGCGTCATCAATATCGTGCAGCACTATCGAAGCGGCGCAGGCTTCCACGTGTGGCTCAGCGATGACGATAAATCCGCGAGTGATGCGAGTAACATTGAGCCGTCCAAGTCTGAGCACGATGGCAGTTGAGGCAGACGCATCTTAACTATCAATTCAATTTGTAGCTCGAATTACGCACATAGTTTTTTAATTATTGAATTAGTCTACGCCGTGAATATTATTTTTATAAAACAATTGTTTTATATATATGTTCTTTTCGCGACGTGCCGTTGTTCCTAAAAATTTTATACATAGAGATTTATTGTACATACAGTATACGCGCAGTATTAAATTGCGAGGTAGTTATTTTTATAGAAAAATCGAGATACTTTGCACTAAATGCCAAAAATCGTTTTTTCAATTTCGTTTTCAAAGCAACACAAGTTTCGTGAACAAATTATAGATTTGAAAATCTTTTTTGAAAAAGAAAAGTGCAATAAAACCAAATATTTTTAAATAATATTTAAAAATTAATTTTAATATTAATATTTCAAAACTTAGTTTCAGTTTTATTTAAGATAAACTTAAAATAACAGATTTAAAATCCATTGAAGTTCGTCAACTTCAATGGATCAATCTAGTATTATTATGACTTATATTATGCTTCGTGACGAAGAGATGAATGATAATTAAGTTTATATTAATACAATCTGCATTTATCTATTTTCTTCACACAAGAGTTTCTTGTAAAAAGAAATAATAATATAATGTATTTATAAAGTATCTCTATTTTAGGAAATTATCTTGAAATACGTTTCTGTTGTTTTAATATGATTGATATTTTGTTGAACAAAATCCTGATATCCGAACGAAATGCGAATCTTAAATTGTGATTATGTTCTAAAATCTTTTTTCATTTACTTCCTTAGATTATAATGATAATGATAAAAGATAATGGTTTGTACAAAGCGGTTGATTAATTTTAAACATAAATTACTTCGATCAATAAAGCCATTGTTAGATATCGTGATACTACCCACTTTATCAAATTTTTAATCTATAAATATCAAGTTAATCTTCAGATATCCGGAAAAAGAAATCTCTACGTGTTCTAATTGAGAAATTTATTTTCAATAAACTTCATATCATGTAAAATAAACAAGAGTTCGATTTGATATTGCTAATTAACTTAACAAGTGTAATAAATTAAAGATGGAACAAAGATTTAAAAATTTCTTAATTGCGCAATGAATTTACTAATTAAATTTTTATCATATCAAATTTGTTGTTTTTTATCGATTGAATTAAATAAAAAATATTGTATCAATGTCTAACTTTGATTTAAAGTCGAAAATAAATTTTTATAAAATTTTATTACCAATTAAAAATTTTTAAAGATTAAATTTTATTCGTTAAATAGAATTTGTATTGTTATTTGATTTATTAAAATTGATGAAGCGTGTTGATAAATAACTTGGGATTTTCCAACGCTTTTCTGCTGCTATTAGCATTTACATTGTTATTCAATTTGCACAAACGGAAATGTGTCTTTTCAATCATCTTTTTCCAATAACGGTAAAAGCTGTGGTCCATCGCAGATGTGCTGATTCGACTGGGATTTTCCCAGATCCGCGCCGAAAGTGCGTACGGACTTGTGTAAACATGTGTGTAAATAATGTTCATGTGAATGGCGTTGCTACATATAAAGCCACCACGACGATGCGTAAAAACACAATCGTAGATACGTTTCGTTACAAGACGCTGTTGTAAAACAGTCCTTAAGAAAAATCTCCGTATGATAAATCGGTGCTCCAATAATCATGATTTATCTCCAGGTAAGATTAGACATAATTAACGGACAAGATTCACATCATTCATAATTCAACGATCTAATATTTAATTTAAGTAAAGTATCGTTCTGTGTTCGCGATTTTACTTGGCGAAGAAAACGTACGTCTTTTATCGAATCTAATATCCAATTTATTCAGAACAAAACGATGTTCTTTCTCTCGGTAATAAATTCGTTTTTCTTTTGCAATGAGAGTACAATCCACAGCAATATGATCCACTTTCATTTCGTTAGAAAGATCATTTATTATTTGTGTTCACGTCTTATAAATAGTCAAAGAGTTTCTTAACGTGAAGAAATCCACAAATCCATTTGTCGGAAAGATTAAATGTCTTGTTTGCTGCGACGATAATGAGGTAAGAGTGAGCATTAAGTTAGCATTCTTAACTCCGAGTTAACGGAATCTTTAATGAGAACGAATGACATTACTTCAGAGAATACGTTGTTTGTTTGACAATTAGCCAACGTGTGCCGCAATTAGAACGTGACATCGTTGCATCGTTGCACTGTTTTATTTCTTCCACTCGGTATATGTATTAATAATTGTAAAGCTTGGTTAAATTGTCATCTTAACGTAACTCATTTTAATGTGAGACACGTGTAGATTGAATTATAATGTGTGCGTGAAGAATGACTGTACAGAAAATTTTCGGTAAATTATGTCATCGAACGCGATTGACGACAGGAAATTACAAACAGCTTTTTTTTATTAAAAACAAATATTTACACGATTCATCACTTCTGACATCATAATCCAATATAATATTGAATTAAAATACCAGCAGCTTTAAATTTAACACACTTGTATCCATTTCTACTAATATAGATTAATTTTCATCTCGGGTTAATTTTTTATCTGTATGTTTCGGCTTATTCTTTATCTTTTTCAATTTCCCAGAACAAGAACAAGATAAAGAATAGAAGTTAAGCCGAGAAAGTTAATCTCTACATTAGTAGAAATGGATATTAATCGCTCATCAGGCCAATTGACCTGTCAATTTTGACCTACAATAATCGCAGATAGACAAATTATGTGCAAATCAGCACATTCTGATTTTGAAAATGTATGATAAATTATATAATTTCTCGCAAACTTGATAAATTCTGATAAATTTGATAAAAATTCTTGACACAAGAAATTGATAGGAAATTGAGAGAAGGATGGAATAAAATCACTGCAAAATTTTAACTTTGAAAAATTTGGGCGTGACTGGAAGTAAACATATCTCGTTAAAGGAATTTACTTCTTATGAGTAAATGCACGAAACTAAACCTCTTCGGAGATAAGTTTTTTTCGTGGAAAGTAAAGATAGAACACTATAAAAACACACATATACACGCGTCTTTTTAGAGGTAGCAGGGATTTTGCAGGTAATAAAATTGATTGTGATCGGGCATTTCCAAGAGATCAGGAAGTAATGATAAGTTCGCACGACAAGCATACATACATAAACGCGTTCAGGGTCGGGTGGAAAGGAAGTAGCTTGACTGAAACGAGGACTCAGGAGGATTCTTCTCGCATTACCCTACACTAGATGTATACACGTCCGTTTCTCATTGTTCAAATTTAAGTAAGTCGAGCGAATAGATTAATATACGTATAAAATTACATAAAACACGCTTCCTTTAATCTATAGGCACGTATTTAATTCCGAGCCTGAATGTCTCGTAATTATTTCTAAATTTTTCTTGAATTTCTTACAAAATTCCTCTAAATGCAACTTTATCAGATTTTCTTGATTTTTCTTCGTACAATCCGATCCTGAATCCCCAACTCGTTGTGACTATGTCATGACGTTTTCCGCGCAAACATGTGACGAGTCAGTAGTGGGGAAGAGTGGGGCTGGCTAAGGCATTCTCCTCTAGCGTGTCTCTTCATGAATTCATGATCGCTCCGACTTCAGTTCTGCCTCTTCTCGATCGTCGCTCAGACCGCTCCAACTTTACTTCGTACCAATTACCGAGACGTCACTTGATTATTCATTTTACTGGAACTCTCTGAGAGAGTGTCAAACAATGTCGTTCCTCACGGTAAGTGTCGACGTCGACGTACATTTATTTTTCCTCTGCGATCCCATTTATTTCGCTTCGTGAAATCCGTTACGAGTTTTTTTTTACAGAGAAGATTCAGAAGGCGATCTTTCGAAAGTCCGAAATTCATTGAAATATCACTCGTTGTTGCTAGCATCGCGAATTGCCTACAAAAGATTGTAAAGCACGATCGTGTGTTGTTGTACCCCAACCTGAAATGACCCTTGACTGCCTGGTCGGAAGTTCAACCGCGATAAGTCTTATCGAAAAACTTGCGAATGTCTTCCTCTCGAGAATAAATTTCTTAAATTAATTTCGAGCGAGTTTGATACATGTATTAAAAAGTTATCAATTTTGGGTTGAAAAACGTTTTCAATTTTTTAAATTCCTAAAGAAATTTATTAGATGGTTTACTGAAAACGTCAAATTCTTTATCTTTCCGATTAATAACATAAAATTTCTAATACGATTCATTATAATATAATTGTGACAATCGTTACGATTCACGACACAACATTGATTCAAAATTGAAAGAGATTTATTTCGAAAGTCGATAGACGGAGCAAATTCGTAGTCCGGGATAGTTTTAAGTGTTTTGACTATCCAGAATGAGTTTGAAACGGTTTGAAACGAGTTTCTTCGTGTGTCAAACAATATCAATAATATTAAAACACGGTCTATTTTTATTTCATTTTATCTAGAGCGACGTCAAACATTTATATAATAATATCTCTCGATATCCACAAATATGCATTTACACATACATATCCAAAATCTAGCAATTTTATAATAGAGAACAATGTAAATGATGGCGTGATATTATCAGGCATAATCATCTAACAATTATTTTGTGTTTTTAGTATACATTTCATGTTTAACTTGGCAATCAATCTCACATTGACATCGAATGTTATTCTCTTAAGTTTATACTAGAAATCTTAGTTCATTAACGTTTTCATTTAGCTTCAACGAATATTAATTTCACTAATAAACTTTCTACTATAATTTTCAGTACATGATGTGTAGACGATATAACGTTTCCCAGAAAATCATTCGTATATCGTTTTGTAAATACATTGTAATCACAAAAAAATATTTTACATTCCTGTAGATAAATAGAAAAATAAATGCCGCGCGGTCCTATTTCTTCGTCTTCTGAAATAATTTTATGTGATCGTTATCCTTTAAAATTAAAACCCAATGTTGTCAAAACAATTATAAAAATCTGTCTGTTTAACGTTTTTCTAAATTTAAAATCCAGAAACTTGTGACTCTAAGACTTTTAGAAAAGGACAATTACTACTTAAATAAGACTCTCTGCATTACAGTTTTATGACCTTTAATGAGATAATTGGACAAACGTGTCTACGGTCTAACTTCAGACCTTCACGCTTCGAAGTATTTACGTAAAGAAGCTATACGCCGCTCTTACGTTTCTCACGGAATTCCCCTGTCGCGTTCGCACCGCTTGATCATTCATAAATCCTTGCGTCACGAGTAATTACCTAGAGCTATTTGATCGCGAGCAAACGAACAAAAGAAGAGAGAGAGAGAGAGAGAGAGAGAGAGAGAGAGAGAAAGAGTTCGATTCTGAGAACAAGGTTGACTATTCGCGAGCACGCTTGTCATGAATTGTACGTGATACGTGATCGCAATGGATAACGAGTATAAACGTACACAAAGAATTCACACGTAACATTTCATTGCCATATCGATCTCGTTCCATCTATTCCAATTATAACTCAGACAGATCCTCAAAACTCAATTGCAATCATAGTTTTAATTCACCGACCTCGTTCTCATTTTAATTCATGGAGTAATTTTAATTTCAGACAAATTCAAGTCAGTCTTTATTTCAATTCGCACCTTTTCTCTGCTCTTTTCTTGTTTTAGCTATGTTTTTTTTATTTCAAATGCTCACTATTTCCGGAGCAGATGTATCTCGCAAGTATTGTCGTGTATATGATATGTAACACAGATTCGTGGATCATCTAATTTTAATTCAGACCATTTTATTGGAATCTCCGTTTTAATTATTCCAATTTTAATTGTTTATTTTTAAATTATCTTCACAAATTAATTAATTTCAAAAATCTGTTTCCACTTTTAATTTATTTATTCCGATTTTTATTTAAATTTTACTCCTAAAATTCTAGAATTTATTAAAGGAAGTGAAGAATTGTAGTCTCGCGCTGCGATGCCATTATTAATTTTTAATTAATTATTAATGTTTCCTTATATTGAATAAAATTCATATACGTCACCGAGGGGTGTGACCCGTCTTAATTCGCCATCTTGCGAAAATGCCGCTTTTCAGGCGAGAACTTTCGTCACATCTTAATTTCAGTCATGAAAGCCGGATGCCCTATGATGTCACGGTACTGGCTGCGCCGGCTGCTTTCACTCGTTGTTAGCCGATTTCCGATCCGGTTGCAATTTCGCCGCAATTGCACAGAGAAGTAACGAATGAGAGAACATGCCCTTCCACGAGGGAAGGAAGTTGTGAAGGAATCGCGAATGATTACGTCAGGATTTGATTGAAAAAACTAAAATTCTCCAATATACATATGCACACAGAAGAAAAATATGTATTATTAGCAGACAGAATCTAATTGAAAAAATCTTGTTCAATTCATTACAGTATTAATTAAACAAATTCTCTTAATAAAATGTTATTTTCCAAGACAACACAAAGTTTAAAGGGGACATAAGATATCTACAAGACGTTTTTCACATGTCTTTTAAATATTTCTCGCAAGTAGAAATCTTTAAGATCCTGATTTTATGCTGAATTGATTAATTGATACTGATATTGAATAAACAAGATCATTTTCAATTAGACTGCAGTTGGTTAATGTTGTTAATACATCTTTTTTTTTCGTGCAGGGTCATAAGTCGGTAATCGCGATACACAATCGCGACGGCTTAACTTCGCGAAAAAGTAAAGAAACGAATTTGAAATTCAAATCGTTGGACGAAATCCTTGATCTTTGACGTTCTAGTCGGGCGGGATTAGCTACCGGCTAAAAAGACTCGCAATCAGCTGCGATGAAGCGATTGCGCGCGGTGGGCGCGACACGGTCTAGAAATTCGTATAGATTACAGGCTATTGTCGTGAGGAGCGGTCGCGCGTGTTGTGAAAAAAAAAACGTGCCGAAGGCCCAGATTCCTTCCGTCGCGTCGTCTACGTGTCTTCTGCGTCAAACGCGGCCTGTGATTCCTCGTCGTCGTCGCTTTCTCCGCCGCTCGCGAGAAAGTTTTTTTTTTCCTCTCAGATCGAATATTCGACCGAGGGAATGATGCCAGCGCGTGCGTTTTATTTGCACGGGACATCGTTAATCTCTTCGCGTTGGATGACACGTGTGTATATTTGACGATAAATCGCCGCCGAAATCGAATAACAAATTGAATTCCTTTTTTAGTTGCGGTTCCCCCCGCCATAACGCGGAAGTCTCTGAGAGATCTCTCCTTTGAAGAAAAAAGCTCTAAAGAGATTTTAATTAGCTTTATTTTTCCTATGTTGCACAATCAACCTCCTAGAGCGACCCACTTTGAACATATTATTGTTGCTTTGACGAAGGACACATCATTATATACTTATGGCCTTGACCATAAGTATAATGCTCTTTCAATTTATTGCATTTTCTTGGAGAAGACAGTAATAAAAGCCAAAGGAAAACTAACGAAATAAATTAAAGTTGCCATAAAAAATAAATATTATTTTTCAATAAAAATGTTCTTAATTTAGTTTTCGTTAGATATAGACCGTTTACAATTTGTAGGGGATGCTTTATACTTATAGCCAGGACTGTAAATGTAACATCGATTTGAATCCATTCCTTACGTGTAATATTAATAAAACATATTTTTTGACAACATTCTAAAGTTACGATATTTTCCTTTCTCTTATTTTTATCTTTTTTGCAGGTGATATCATTGCTGTCGGCGATCAGCATGATTTCGGCACAATGTCTAACAGGAGATGACGTCCCCTCGATGATGGACCCGACGTCGAGGATGTCGCTGACGGACGCCCGTTTCGGCTTCGCGCTCGACAGCCTGAGGAAGACCGTGCTGATCGAGTCGAGGGACAACGTCTTCTTCAGCCCGCACAGCATACACGAGGCCCTGAGCCTGGCGTACTTCGGCGCTCGCGGCACCACCGAGGAGTCCCTCAAGCAGGCCCTTCACATACCGAATGAGCTGACGAAAGTCGACGTGCAACGCTACTACGCCCTCGAGAGATCGCTCAGTCAATTACGTGTCCAGGTGAGCGATTCCGGCGCGATTGCGTAATTGCGCGATTTACTTTACTTCATCGTAGCGCGGAGGTATGTCAAGGTGATCATCGCCCGCGGTTTATCGTTACACCAACGTCCGGGGATAAACCGCGCTCGGGATCCCCAAGGCCCTAAAGGTGGCTGCTTCGAGAGAATCGCGGATCCCCTTGGCCGACTTTTAAAGATCGTCTCGTACAGCGAAACGCTTGCACGAACGAATTTGTGAATGACGTAGGTAACTCAGGGATTTCCGCATGAAGAAGCCGAGAAGAAATATGGTGGAAATAAATTTCAAGTTCACATGTTAAGTCAACTGCAATGTACTTCTCAAATGCGTTAGAATATGTATGACGGATCCGAAGATATATTTATTATCGCAGACGGTTTATTAGAATGTGATGGTTGTGACAATAATTTTAACTAAATTTTAAGTTGAAATAATTTTAACTAAAGAAAAGGAAAAAAAAAGTTAGAATTAAAAATAAATTATGAAGTTAAAATTAATAATGAATTCGCAGATCTTTTAAAAATGGGTTTTAGAACAAGAAATATGAAGGCTTTTCTACTCAGACCAAATGTTTAACTTCAGACTATTTAATTCGAATAAAATGATTAAACGAGTTTTACAAAATAATTTAGACATTTTTAAAATTTATTACTTCGGGGATAGAAATTTTTCTGAAAATCATTCTTGTGCGAACGTAATGTACGAACAGAATTTGTATGAAATTATCTTAGCGATTTCGCGCAGAGATTCTCAGAAGTATTGAAAAAAAAAGAACGAATTTTTTATCCTCGGTATTTCTCATTTCAGATGGGTGGATCCGCTGAAGATTCCTACGATTTCAGGATCGCCAATAGATTTTGGATTACAAATTCCAAGAAACCGCGCGAATGCATGCTCGATTTCTTCGGCGATCAGATGGAAGTAACCGATTTCCGTACAAATCCCACCGAGGTGAGAAATCAGATCAATAATTGGGTCAGCAATATAACGAAAGGCCACATTCGCGACCTCTTGCCGCCGAACAGCATCACCGAGGACACTGATCTGGTACTGGCGAACGCGGTCTACTTTAAGGGTCTGTGGGCCTCTCGTTTCGACCCAAAGGATTCGAAACGCGACATCTTCTATACTTCCAGCACGCAAAATTCTTTCACCACCTTCATGCATCAGACAGGGAATTTCAATTACGGTAAGCGTCACTACTCCACTCGAGAGAGAACTTCATGAACTTATCATTAAACTGGACTCTTTTAATTGATTCTAAACAAAATATTTTTTACATTTGACTTTAGATTTATTCAAATTTATGTATAAATTCCAATATCGTCTATTTTTATAAAAATATAAGATGTCAAAGTGAGATTATGAAAACGGTCTTTTACTTTGATGGAAACGTAAACAGCATTAGGTATACGGATTAAAAATCCGACATTTTATTCATCAGTATGCAATATTTATTTGTCTACTTTTTTTTCCTAATTTTTACGTTTTTCTTTCCAGGTGTCTCTGAAGAGCTAGGTGTATATATCTTGGAATTGCCATACAAAGGTAACGAGGTATCGATGTTCGTGCTACTCCCTCCGGGAGTATTCTCTGCCGGGCGATCGGCTCAGAATCCTTCTAACGAGCCGCAAGACGGCATCCGTCAACTGGTGGAACGTCTGGCGACGGAGAAGGGTTCCCGGGATTTACGCGAGCTGCTGGACGACGGATTGCTGCAGCACGAGGTCGTGGTCAGCCTGCCGCGTTTCGAGCTCGAGCGAGAGCTGCCGATCGGTCAGCTGCTGCACGCCCTAGGCGCCGGGGAACTGATGACACCCGGCGTGGCCGATCTGCGCGGCTTCGTCGCGGACGGCGAGCAAAGCTTGCACCTCGGCGACGCGGTGCACCGCGCCCGCATTGAGGTCACGGAGGAAGGCACCACCGCGGCCGCGGCTACCGCCCTCTTCACCTTCCGCTCGAGCCGGCCCACCGAGCCCGCCGTCTTCAACGCCAACCACCCGTTCGTCTACCTGATCTACAACAAGGCTGATCACACCATCCTCTTCACCGGCGTTTTCCGCACACCCGGCTCATCCCAATCGACACCGCTAACTCCCGGTGCTGTTTAGACAGATGTTTACGAAAAAAACTCGTCCTTTAATTTAAAAGACAGTCGGGCCGTGGAGTCTGATAACGTGGCGGAGGTTAATAAATTCGTTTTTTCACTTCTTCGTCAATTGACTCGTATGGCGTTGAACTATTTTTGTTGATGATAAGAGATGATCTTTTGGATCCTGCAAAGCTGGCGTTGTTGGTCTTTAAATCCGCGCGAATTTTCGAAGAATCGAAAGAAGGACTTTATATTTGCCGGCGATTTTTCGAGAGGCGTTTGCTGATTAATGAATCTCATTAATTTAAATTTTATACTTTATGACGTCTTATATTAAATGAAAACGAGTGTTATAAAACAAAATAAAAGTGTATACGTTAAGGCGTCAATATTACTTACTGATAACATATGGATAATAAATTTCGACGATCTCGCTGACTGACTGAAACAGTTGTTATAATAGATATTCTTCCGAATTTTATAATTAAATTATATAATCCGAATAAAAAAAATTAAAAGTTTAAAAATATTAAGCGGAGATTTATGTAATAAAAAAAAATAAATAAAAATGCCTTAAGCATACATATAATTATACACGTATTGTAATTAAAAAAATGTTTTTCAACTCCCCCGTTTTAATATTAATATAATGACAAATTTAACGGCGACAGCGTAGATATAATAGAGAAAATATTTAAGTAAATCTAGATGTAAAGCGTTAATTTTTTCATCATAAACTCAAAAAACAGAACATAATTAACACAGAGAATATTGTTAATAAACTGTTAATGAAAGTTTCGGTGCAAACAACTGAAAATTTGTCGTATGACAAATGTACAATTAACTTTTCGGGCTCATGTTCCGTCCATTAAGTACGTGAACGGAACACTGTATAGTTGGAATTTCGCAACGTGGTATCTAACGTGGTGATGGCTAACGCCATCCCTTTATCTGTACCAAAACTTTTCACAGAATAAGAATCGCAGACGTCTTTTTTCTACTTGAGGTTTCTATTCTGCGCATCCACTTTGCGCAAACACTTGTGCATATAAGGAATAAAATAGGAGTTAGCAGTCTAATGTATTATATAGACGTCTGTGCTTAGAACAGATTTTTATATACTGTAACTATAACTATATAGACTGCTCACTTTGTAGCCTTGTTTGACGTCAAATAGTGCTTTCGATAGGAGCTACCATTTTCAAGCTCTACCTACTCACTCATATTTAAATCATATAATACATAGAGTCAAGATGATGCTACAAATGCTTTAAAGCATTTGATTGACCAATCAGAAAAAGAATTTTACAAATTGATCAATCAGAAAATGCTTCAAAGCATTTGTAATATCATCTTGACCGTACCCATAGTCACATGGTACCCTCAAATCACGTGATATACTCACAGACAGTATACATATGCATAAGTGGACCACGACAAGAATAGCTCATCACTATTGTCTCTTTCTGTCATGCAAAATAATCGAAATGAACAATGTATAGGCCTATTCTTTTCAGTTAAACTTTTTGCATGGTTCATGTTGGAGAAAAAAAAGAGAAAAAATGAACGATGCAAGAAATTCAAGCTAAAAAGAATCAGAACAAACCTTAGTTGTATTCCGATGTAGACTAGCTGTTATTAAAAATCTATAATATACCTAACAAAACTATAGATTTTCACGATCGAGTAATAAAAACTTTTTGCGTGAGTAAAAAAGATCAAAGCGTAACGAAATTATACCAATTTCAGTCGCGATTTAGGGATTAAAAATAAAACAAGAAAAGATAGACTGATGTTCTTTAAAGGTTTCTGCCGAACATATAGAGCGTATTTTAATGGTAATCGCGTTCAAATTCGTTTGTTTTACGGAAAGTTGCAAATAAAATATTTGTAATAAAAAATAATTAAAAAAAATTTTAAGACACATGTATAATAATATAACATAATTAAATGTTTTTTCAATTTATTTTAACTAAAATAATAAATTCAACAATTCCACGATACAAAAGATGGAATGAATAGAGATAAATCATCAATTTTGATCACAAATTGAAAGCAGAACACAATTGACGCATTGTCGCTAAATTCCCTAAACAATAAATAAACCACAAGATTTAGCGCTTTTCTCATCTTTTGTCACCGACTTCAATGTCCTTTAGTTTTTATTTTAGTAAACATAAGACATCTTGACTGTCTATTATCGATCCTATTGTATTCTAACATCAGTTTCGAAAAAGTCGTTTTACCATTTACAGTTAAAACTAAACTGGACAACTATTATTATATATCGTCGATATTTCCGCTAATTTGTTAAAATTTTCTTGCCTGGTGAGCGACAATTTTTGTAACTCGTATTGGGACTACTTGATGGGACTGTGTCGATAGCTTGAGAATTAATTAAAGGTATACTATATTACTGCCAATCCTAATAAATGCGATAAAATGTCTATTACACATTATATATAATGTGTAACGTATATATGTTAAAATATATTTATACTTATCTTCACTATAACTGCATTAATGCTTGTTTTGTGTGTATCAATGTATAAAAAATTTCTTAAAACACAAATTTGTACGTACATAACATTAATTGTGACTTAATTTTGTGATAGCCTTTTGTTTCTCTTTCATTGTCAGTCTAGATTTATAAGATTTTAAATATATATCTTCTTGTGCAGAGATTAAATTAACGAACAACTTCATTTTTTTTTAAGATGTTGACAGACGCTTGCTTCAAATTTGCCCTCGAAAGCCTAAAAAAGTGTATGATGATGGAGCCGAAAACTAACGTCTTTTTTAGCCCGCATCTTTTATATCACAATCTACTCGTTATATATTTCGGGACTACAAACGAAATTGAAGAGTCTCTTAGAAAGATCCTCAATATTCCCGATGACATATCTAAAGCCTTCCTTCAGCAATACTATTTTATATGTGGTTACAATCAATTTTGTTACATAGTAAGTAATTCTTTTCAATGTAATTAGTATCGTCATACAAAGAATGCATGAGAATGTACGTAATTTATCGCTAGCGTTTTTGGGGATTTTAAAAAGTTAAAAAATTGTAATTAACAAAATAAAGTCAACTACGGTGACTTATAATAAAAGATGACGAATATTTATTTGTCTTAAATAGGAAGAAAAAAGGGAGAGAGGAACGAGGACAAGAGAGATTCTCACAATATCTTCATTTCTTTTTTCAGATCAATGGATCCGATAGACCCACTGATGAACCCGAGAGCTATCACTATACATGTCGAATTTTCAGTAGAATTTGGACGAGTGAATGCAAAAGGATGTACATCGAGACAATGAATTTATTCTCATCTGGCCATCAGTTGAAGGAAATCACTTTCCAACTTCGTCCCGAGCATGCAAGAAATTTCTTTAATAACAGTATTAAATCCGTAACACAAGGTCGCATAGAGAACCTGCTTGGGCCGGAGAGTATACATGTCAAGACTGAAGTAGTCCTGTTTAATGCGATCTACTGCAAGGGCCAATTAAGCGGCAGTTTTGATTTTGACATCAATAATTGCCAGAATAAAAAAAATGGCAGAGTCAGACAAATGCTTAAGAACGAGAATCTCAATAAAGGTCACTAGTCACTTCAATATTATTTTATCCATTTATCAATAACTTTATAACGATTTCTTGTATTGAATTAGAAGCAAAAAAATTTGTATATTTTATTTTGTATTGTAAAACATTTTCATATAGATAGAAATTGAAGTAAAAACACTTTCCAACATTTTTTTCCCTTTTATATTTTCTACAATTATTGTAAACCGATATTTAATGAGAAACGATTAATACTTTAATTTTTAATTGTCTCCGTTTTAATCTTGCTTTATTTTTAATTTTTTCCTTCAGACAAGTCTTCTTCAGAAAAGTCTCTGCTAGAGGCATATATTATGGAGGTACCATGTAAAGAGAAGGATATATCAACGTTCTTCTTCTTCCCGTCGCAGACTTTGGAATCTGACAAAAGTAATCCGACAGAGAGTGATAAAATTATCAAATTGATAGAACAAATGACGACCGAGAAAGGATCTGAGGAACTTCGCAGACTGCTGGATAATGGGCTATCACAAAAGACGAACTTGGTGTTTCCGATATTCAAGCTCGAGCAAGATCTGCGAATGTACGACCTATTGGATTCGCTGGGCCTTTCGGACATTGCGCCATTAGGCGAGGTCGATCTGACTGAGTTTACTTGCTTGCCCATGATGCTCGGCGATGCCGTGCACCGTATCAGTATTAATCTGACGAGTAGTGATATCACCGTGGCCGCGGCTAACGTATTCATCACCGAAAATGAATGTCAACACGAGCGTAAAGACACCGACCTGGATGTTCTCTTCCCATGTGTTTGTCTGATCTACAATCGATCCCGTAGCAACATCCTTTTCTGTGGCGTGTTGCTGGGAAATTAACGAAAGTAAAGTCAAAGATATTTCTGTATTTATAAAATGAGAGACAAAGCGAAAGTTTAGCTAAATTAATTTTTTTTATGGAGAAATTGTCTCCTGTAAAAACTTTTAGGAATTTAAACTTTTGTAAAATGACCTGTTTGAATAACATAAATTTTATCGTGACTCTTTTTTATTAAGTGTATAAAAAGAATTGTATAGAACACTGCTTGTGCGAAAAGTGTGCGAAATACAACTTATAGTTTTATTCAAAAAATTCTTTTCTCTCTTCCGACAGAAAATATTTAGGTCAATTTAATAATCTAATCCCTCCTAATCGCGAGAAGTTGGTGGCGAAAACACTTTGTCGTGCCTTCTTGATCGACTTCTTGAGAGATTTTCGCGATCGGCAGCTTGCGCCTCTTCCGGTCGTACCGACAAGTTGAATTCTCGAGACTGAGACCCATTCACCTGGGCTTGACGTCATTCTGAGCACCGCTTCTGGCTTGGGTATCTGCCTGCCTGCCCGTGTATACGTGCGTGCGTTCGGGCTTTGCGTATCAGCGACCGTTAGCCGGTAGCATCCGCGAAACACGAGCATGCCGGGATCTGCTGCAGCCCGTTGGCATCCGATTGCGTCACGTGGAACGCACGCACGTACACACATGTAACACGCGACGCGGGTATGACATACCAGAAACACGGACGAACGCGAGTATCGTCCTGATTCGCGCTCCCGCGAGTCCTTGACGTATTATACGAGACAACGAGAAAGAGATGAGCGAACCCGAGATCCGTGAGAGACGCGAACAGACTCTCGCGCTTCCTCGAAGATCCATAACGTCGTCTTTAAAGCCTTTCGGCTGCGGCGGTTTCGGGATTGAGGCCAATCCGGAAGGATTCGCCGTTGTATCTCATTTTTTTTGTTTATATTTTTCAGCTTGTTATGTTCGTACATTTTTTTTAGATTTTTTTTCTCTCTCGTTATTTCCGTTAATTTAAGTAATATCTAATGAAGGATTACGTTTATTTTCTCGCCTGTCCTATGCTCGTAGCAATATGCCAAGAATAACCGGCGATCGGAAAATTGAAAAACGGATTGATCATTGATTTAATTTCAGTAAATAATTGTAATACATACAAAAAAAAGTATGGCACTTCTAAGTTTTGCACTTTAATCTTCGCAAATATAGACAACGAATCCTTTAGACATGGCGGTAGTGGAAAAAATCGCAACGCGCAGCAAAATCGTACCGACATTAATTGCGATTAGTTGAAAAAAAGTCGAAATACCGAAAACGGTAGGTTGACGTCCTTCGGAAGTTTCTGCCAAATTATATAGAGCACACTTTAACAATGAAGTTTAGAATTGTTTGTTTGCGCCGTGAGACTCGCGATTTTTCGCGTTGTCCCGAAGACAGAAGGCAATCTTTAATTCATCGGTTGCATAAAATCGGCTATTATTATCGCATCGGCGCGTTCAGAGTCTTTTTTTCGTATTTGAATATGTTAGCCGTGGGCGTCACGCAGAGACGAATGGCGCTCTATGTGGATTCCTTACAATGCTGACGCATTCCGCCAGCTCGAGGAAGGAAGACCCATCTGTATTATTGCGTATATTATTCGAGTTGTGTGGATGCACATCTCTCTTTCAACGTGTTATGAAAGCGAGGCAGCGCGAATGGAATTGACATGATCGTGAACATTGCCTGCGTGTACGATTCTCCTTTTTTACGACCACAAATTGCAGCTCCGTCCGCGAATAAGATGTCGAAGTAATAATCGTAGTAATTGACTCCACTGACGTTTTTCCAAACGAAAAGAAGTTCTTCAGTCTGAGGCTGCGAATGTCCGAAAAATTTCCAAATTATATACAAAATTATTATTAATTAATTACAAAAACGCGCAGTTAATTCGCTAATCTGAATAATTTGGTTTTTTAATATTTAAACTTGCAAATCTGGATTTAAACGTTTCTTTTTAGAAGTAGAAAACCAACTGCCAAAATTTATTAAAACTACGCGTACGATAAATATAAATGCCATCAATTTTCTCTAATCTTTCTTCTTTACGTAATTTTTTTAATATTTCTTTTCAATGTTACATAATTCTATGAAGTCATTTTATGCCCATGATTATTTCTTCTACTTCTTCTTTTTCTTCTCTTAATAATTATTTTGATAATTTCGTAATTGTAATCATAATTTTGCACCTGCGCGTGAAGTAGCGATATCGATGCTTCATTGGTAAAAAAAGAAGAAGTAGGAGAATTCGGGCCGACAAACAGCTCGATAAGAAACGCTTGAATATCATTAAAGAATATCTGAGTAATCGGAGCTGGTCCTGCCAGATTGTTTTTCGCCGGCGGCCGGCGAAAACTCGTCGTCGACCGCCTTCTTTTTTACAGCGCGGGATAGGCGCTCCCGTACGGTCACTTTCTTTCTTTCGACGATGATGAGGACGGCGCCAACGACGACGATGACGACGACGACGACGATGGCGACGAGGACGAGCGCGGCGAGTCGGTCACGCGCGCTTTTTCGCGCGACGCTCGTTCCACATCCTTTGATCGCGCTCCCCATAATTATGTGACTTCACCGACTTCACCGAACGAGATCATCCGGATCGCGCGCGGCGCGAAGTCACGCGTGTCAAATTCCGCACGGTCATCCGCCGCGCTGGCCGCGCCGTTTTTCCCAAACCGCAAATCGGTCGGGTGTATATACAGGACGGTGTATTTTCGGAGTAAACGACGCCGAAACGTCACCTCGTGGTCACGAGGTGATCCGATTTTACATCGGTTTCCAGGGTAAAGTTTTCGATAATGAGAAATAATAATACCAGCTGCTAAGTGAGTCACTTTTCAATTCGAAGCCAAAGTCCTTTTCTTTCTCTCTTACGTCCGTTTCGAATCCGCATGCAGGCTTACGATTCGCGCGTTTACCAAACAAAGTTTAAAAAATTTTGCGAATCCTCGATATCGTGAGTCCTTTGTTCGCCACGATGAACGCTTGGTAAAAGCTTCTCCCGCAGGGATCGGGCGCATAACTGAATTTCGAAATTCGTCAAGTCGCGGGTAACGTTTCTTGCGCTCCAAACGTAATCTCGTAATCGTCCGGGCAGGGATTCGTGGAAGTTATTCCAGAGGCGAGACGACGGCGAGGGTGAGAGGGGGGGGGGAGGAACGGGGAGGGAAGAAAAAGGAAGAAAGAAAGAGGTATATCCGTCGCGCGCGGTTATGACCGGTCGCAGGAACTGGCGACAAAGGCGTTTTGACGCGCATGGCTGGTCTTCGGGCCCGGCTGCGTCATCTCAAAAGCGTTGTCCATACTCGCAAAACAATTTTTTGTCTAGTACCGCCTTTTTCAGAAAGATTAATTTTTTCGCTGCATCCCGGTACGTAAGAATATATTTTTCTATGCTCGCTTGGCACGTCTCGCAAAATTATTTAGCTTTAAAGGAAGGAATTTACAATTCCAAAGAGGTGATTTCGTCAACATCTCTTTGTAGAAATCATTAATCGTTCGCGTTATCGTTTCCTTTGGAGAAAACAATTCCTCCAAAAAAATTGTGCAAGCTCTAGAAGATTATAACAATAGTTAACGGAGAAAACGGAATGTATACACGTGAGGTTGATCCTCATCATTCAAGAAATCATCTCACTAAATAGACATTTATAACGCCTAGTGTATTTAACCGAGTAACTATGTTAACGCGAGATATTTTCTGCATTCCTTGCGCGAAACCGCGACGCAATCCGCAGCTTTTTATCACGAGCCGTTTATAGAAAGACAGACGTTTCTCGAGATAATTGACAACCGTACGGTCATCCGTATCGGTCGTCCATGGTCGTTGACGAGGAGAGAAATGACGATGATATTTCGTTACACCCTCTTTTTATATGTACGGTGAGTATACATCTCGCAAAACGCTAACAATAAGACCTCTTATGACGTCTATACCGCATCGTAATCGACAAACAAATAATTCGCAGACAAACGGAAATTTTGGGTCAGACTTCGTTTTATCGTTCGCCAATTAATTCGCCCATTAATTCGCCAATTGGCCGTGACAGTTAATTTAATCGAGTCGACCGAGATCACAGCCCTTGTCTCTTTCTCTCTCTTTCTCTTTCTCTCTCGAATCGCGTGCCTTTCGTTTGTCCTGGTTTCGTTGCCATTTGTCGTCGACGCCATTATCGTTATTGCATTCATAATCTACGCCGTCGAAGACAGAGATATCGCCGTAAGGGCGGCCGCCTTTAGTAGAATCAACGTCGCCGGATAACGATCGTAATGCAAATTGCGCGAATTCTACACACACCGCCCTACTCCCCGATCACCCCCTTTCCCTCCTCTCGCGGTAAGGCTAAGGGATCGTGCAATTGCAATCGCATGGAAAAGAAAGAAACGCGCTCGCAATGGAAAAAAAAGCACGTCACGCGGCGGTCGATCTCGTATCTGTCAGTAGATAACATCGAATTCCAATGGCGGCTCACACCCACTCACAGTCTGGTGGGTGAGCTCCACGTCCGTGACACGAGCGAAACGCGCCTGCGTGTTCTAACAAGGGCTTAAAAATTCGTGAATTTGCAACCGACCAAAACTAATTGCTCTTAAATTTTCGGAAAATGTGTATCAATTTAATATAAATTTTTCTTCTTCTTCTATTATATTTTGTGCCATTTTTAAGTATAGCATAAAATAAGTAGAAATGTAAACTTTCTAAAAAAATAATTCTAAAAAAAATCCTAAAATTAATTTAAGAGAAAAATTTAGAAATAAAGTATAAAATCTTATTTTTGCAATTAATACATAGTTTGTGTACAAAAATTATTTTAAAATTAATACAATTTAATTTTTAGATTAAAGAGACAATTTTCATAAACTTCTATATTCGATTTAAAAAAAACCATTATATTGATATACACAAGTATGTTTAGATTCCTCACCAAGTTATTTTCTTAAAATTACACAAGAAAAAAAGCCATAGATAATCGTCTTAAATCTTTAAGTCTAAAAAGAATCTATACAAAGCGACGTTTTGTAATTGAAAATTGTTAATTGTACAAATGAATAAACATCTGCGAGTTTCTGAACCTATAATAGAAAGGATATGTTCTCCGTGCTCTGGATACAAACCTGGCGGATAAACGCCGTCGCCACCGCCTCCAACATTTACCTATAAATCAATTTAATCGTGCGTACAGTGTGATAAACATCGCGCCGTGTGGTAATGTAATCGTCCCAATGCGCCTCGTCGGCGCACAGAGCGCAT